TCAAAAAACAGTCATGCAGGACTCAAAACATTAATCTGTTTCTCTCTCCACAAATGTTGCCAGACTTGCTGAGTCTCTCCAACATTTTGTTTTTATTCCAGTCTATCATAGTTTGTTTTGCAGGAGTTTTGTCTGGATGCCTGTAGAGCTGGCTTCTTGCTCATTGAATTATCATCTCACTGAATCTGGAGAATGGAGCAGAGATATTTTTGACGGAATTTCTTTAGCATTCTCATGTGTCAGTGGTACACCATCGAGGATTGTGGTGGCAACAACTGCTGTATACTCTAGGACTTTTGTTGACCTGCAGAGGTCTTCAACACCAACCTAAACACTTCAAAATCGCAATCTGAAAAGCAGAACTGGGGCAAGATTTATCCAAACTCATTTTTCCCATTGTCTTCAATCATATAATTAGTGCAGATATGTTCAAACACAGACAATGCCATGTGATTCCCTTATTTGTTCTAAGCCTTAGCCCAGAGTACTTCTGTTACTATGGTCAATCTATCATCTTTTGGACCTTGAAAATACCAAAAAATATCTAGCTCTTGAGAAAGCCCAACTCTAACATAATTGTTTCCGCACATTTTAATGAAGGAAAAAAGTTAGACCATGGTAGACTTTGCTTAACAAATCTTAATACAAAACACATTTTGCAAAGCTTAATATTGGAAAATTGTAAAAAGGAATAAAATTACACAAATAAGGAGTTCTTTAGTGTACATGACAACCATTGGAGGATGTTCATATTCTAGCTCATGTTTCTCTTTTAGTTTGCAATAACAGTATTCTTGAGTCTTCTGTGCTTTCAGATAGTTTAAAAAATATCCAAGTAGTTTAAACAGTTTAATTCCATGAAACAACTGTTCCCTAATGCCTTGCTCCTTTCTGCTGAGTTCCCCCAAATATCAACTAAACCCTTATTTCCTTACATCGCCGTTCCCTCCTCTTCATATATGTTTAAACTTATTTTTCAATATTGGACCATACAGGAACAAACCATCATCACTACCAATCCAAAAATGTCAGAGACTTTTGAATTCAATTATTTACATTAATCCACAGGTTTCTGCACATATCCAAGGCTGTAATTATGCACAGGAAAAATGATGCAGCTTAAGAGTGAAAACTATACATTTTACCCGAAGAGAGAGGTTTTCCAATGCTTGCCTAGTCAAGATCATCTAACCCACTAATTTAAAAGAGGTTTCAACTCATTTGTTTGTCAGTGCATTCAATAATAAAGATGATCTACTTTAAAGTCATAGTTCTATATTTTATGATGTAGAGCAGAGACACGACCTGTTGAATCCAAAACTAAGGATCATAGTGTTAACAAAATGTGGAAATTACAATAGCCAAGATGAATTGCAAATATACATTTGATATGAATCTAGGTGAGTGGAAGGAAATAAAAGATTATTTTATTTCATCTTGTCAAAATAAGGCGGGAAGGAGACTTATGTACAGTGTACATGGCACAGATCTGAGAGTCAATTGGCTTGCCGCAGTACTAATAATTCTCAACATCCTTCACTTGTAGATTGTCTCTCCAGGGAGACATTGCATTTAATAGTTGTATCTTGTGTGAATTCAGAGGTTTGAGTAATAAAGAAATCCTAGAAAAGCTGAAACACCCCATTACAACAATAAAGTCCAAATAATTCAATTGAAATACTCAAAATTATTTTTTTAAATTCTGCTAAGGTAAGTGGAAACATTTGCTGTTACTAGTCAATGCAATGGAAACTTGCAGGTGTAAAGATAAAATCATTGTCAAAGAACAAAGGAAGACATTAAGAGAATACCTTTCATTTCAGCAAAACAGTTATTATTAGGATAAGGATTGCCTCACCAACAATGTCAGCAGAGGCATAATCCATAACAGTTTTTAAAAAGGAAAGTGGAAGAATTTCTATTCAAGTATGGAGAAAGCAGGGAAATCGGCACTGCGGATAGTTCTTTCAGAGAACTCAACACAATTACAACAGACCAAATAATTATGGAGATAGCAAAAACTGCAGATGCTGGAGTCAGAGTCAACAAAGTATGGAGCTGGAGGGACACAGCAGGTCAGGCAGCATCAGAGGAGTAGGAAAATCGACGTTTCAGGTCGGGACACTTCTTCAGAACCACACTGTGTTGACCAAATAATTATGGACAGCTCTAAAGTTCTACTATACTATATTGTAGAGTTGGAGTGATTGTCTCTAAATTGACTGATTCTGTACTTCCCCAATATTGAAAGGCATTGATGGAAGTCACATTTGTATTAAAAAAAACTCTGCAAAACGGGCACAAAATGTACCAAAAAAGTATTTGCAACATTACTGATGTATCAGATAAAGTAAACGAGTTTCAAATGACTTGAAAATTTATGTATAAATGCTGCTTCATTTTTTTAAAAACTTACCAGTTCCTATCTATAAGGTAATGTGCTAATTCTTCCACTTGTTTGTTGTCAATCATGTGTTGCTTCAGTAAAGGAAATAACTTTGTCCCAATAAGCTTCTTGTACTGTTTTTTGTCTGTAATTCTTTCCAATGCCAACTCTTTAATCTTCAGATGTTAAAATAAAATTTGATGGAATATTAACACTTTTTAAATGGTTTGACTGGCATATTCTTAAAGCAAACTAATAAACATGCTACTTTTGCCCCACAATGAAATGCAATTCTTTAACATCGCCAAATACTGAAGTCAATTAACATCACGGTTCTAGTGTATAGTCTTATCTTAAAATGCTTAGCTTAAAACCAAATATAGAGGTAACCATACACTATACTTGTAGGATTGAGCAAAAATCCCCATCATGTAAAATACTGGATCAAAACCCTGGACTTTTCAAAACTTTTAAAAGTAAAGGGTCAACTGGGCTGAGCTCTGGGAAAAATACACAGAGATGGCTGCCTGGAACCATCGTTCAGCCTGGAATTCCCACTTACACCTCCACTCTAAGAGAACAATCAATCAAACCTAACACTCTAGACAGGGACTAACTTTTACACCTCAGGCTACCCAGTACAGACAGTATGGGGCCTACACAGATACCGACTTCAATCAAAATACACTCACATATAGTCTTAACTATCAGGAAGCCAATTGACCTCAAAGTGAACACCAGAAACATAATGGACAACACAGATTTGAGGGGAGATAATGGGGCACACAGTCAGTATAACTTCCAGCCCAATCTCACCTGGGAGGGAGCCATTTTTTACAACAACAAGCTTCTTCACTAACACCTTCCCCACAGGCTTCCACCCCCAACAAGTAGCTTCGAACCAAGAACCACAGAGGCTGAACAGAGGAGCTGAATTGGGAAGCCAAACCAAGAGCATCATCGGAACAAAGGACATCTGAGAGGGGTAAGTCAAACAAGCGCTATCCGAACAAAAGTTTTCAGACACAGGCTTATTCCAAACCAAAAGAACTGATGGAAAGAACCTCAGCAATTGGGCACATTTTAAAACTGCACTTTCCTCAGTGGTGAGCTGAAACTCCCAAAGTTTCTGACCTAGCTGGCAGGAAGGGGAAGCAGGGTGGTGACAGTGCATTGGGACCCCAAGGATAGGAAGCCTGATTACAGATTCTGTAATTAAAACTGTCGTTTTAGTTTCTAATGGTTTAATTTAGCTAATAGTGTATTCAATAGTATTACTGTTCTCTGTATAGTTAATTGTGTCAATTTCACTGTTCATTACATTTACCTGTATTTTTGTATTATGCTTAGCTTTTGTATTGCAAATAAATGCAGGGATTCTTTTGCCCTGAAACACCTGTCTACTGCTTTCTTCATTTCATATTCCCTAAATAAGTGCAGTATCTATAACCAGCGATCTCAGGGTGATTCAAACCGCTTAAAAATCAGGAAATAACTGATTGCAAACCGGAACCCTACATACTTTGTACTCAGCCTTCCACTAACACTACTACAAAAATACATTTGACATATCAATAATGAAATAGTAATAATGGTCCATCATATTGTCTTTTGTGAGGTGGAATGAAAAGGACCTTGGCGAATTAGTAGAATACTCAAAAACAGAGTCAATTAGTCATAGGTCCCTTATGTTCCTGCAAAGTTTAACTAAAACTTCTAATGTTTCACGAATGTGTAACTATGATTTTTAGCCTCAGCTTTAGCATTGGAATGATCTGGCCACACCACAGTCCATCTTGCTAGTGCTATTCAAGTTTGTCTGGCTGTTTGCAATTACTGACTTGGACTAAAGTCTTAGCTTTTATTTCCATTATCGGTCCAGCATCAAGTCCTTCCCATTAGTGATTTTGACATTTTTCAAAGATAAGTTTACTCACTGTGAGCACAGCCAAAACTTAATACTTCTGTTCTGACTATATGTCCAGCTAGCAAAATATTTTTAAAAGTGTCTGTTCTTTTCATTTTTCAGGTCTTACTCATTGTGCTTAAAATATTAACTTTTTTTTCTCTCTACAGATGCAGTATTTTCAGTGCTTTAGTACTTTGTTTTTGTTTCTGTACAATAGGCTATTTTACCTTGGATGCATACCCTGCCACCTCTCCCGTTGTCATGTGATCGATAACTTGTTGCAAAAGGGTAACAGGATCAGCCGATAAAAGAAATCCCTGCAACCAAAAAGCCACATCAATATTAAACAGTTGCTTCTTAAAAAAGAAAAAATTGTTCATGGCAGCATTGCAGCCAAGGCCAACATTCATTGCACATTCCCACTGCCTCTGAGAAGGTGGTGGTTAGCCACTTCTTAAAACACAGCAATTCATGGTGGTATACAGATGCACATACTGCACTCTTAGGAGAAAGTTAAGTACTATACTTAATTAAATAGAAATGGATAAATGCCCAAAGCTTGTTTATTACTTAAAAGTAATAACCCATATTATTACTTAACAGTAATAAACTATAGCTTAATCAACAAGAAATATAAAATTAATTAGAATCGAGCTGTTAAATGGTTACACAAAACATATTGAAATATTAATACCATCATACTAAATTTAGTTAATCCTTACAGTATTTTTGCTTCTTACTGAACATCAATATACCCTGCAGTTTAGTTACTTATACTGGAAAACAAATGCACTGCAAGTTGTTCATGTTCATTGTGTCAAAAAACCACTTACCTGTATTTGCTGTTCCCTTTTCTCAGAATAAGGAATAAGCAGCAGACAACCCAGAGCAAAGGGCAACAACTCCAGCTGTACATATTGCTTTGCAATGCCAATAAGGTCAAGGTCAAGTAGAATAGGACACCTTTAGGATCAGAAAATGAAATGATATGAGGAGCATTTTAAATACTGTATAAAGCAAGTGTTAATATTTTTTTGCTAGGGTATTCATTGCACTTGAAAAATTTAAGTTAAATGACAAAGTCAAAACAGACACATTCTTCCATGTACTTACTCATTTGCTATTTGTATATTAGAGCAGACTTTCTGTAGACACACAACTATGTGTATATATTTATGCAATTTTAAAAAATGTTTCATCTGAAAAGATCATGTCAACAGAAAGCTATTAATAGAGGAGTTAAGTGTGGATGGATGAAAAAAAATTTAAACTAAATATATTTAACAATTGAGAAATCTTGTAAAGCATTAACACGAAGATTAACAGGGTACCTATAAAACCAAAAAATTAGTGGTATGAGCAGTATTTAAATAAAACTAATGTAATTAAACAAAAATAATAAATACTTTAATGTGCTTTTAATGGTCAAATGTATTCACTGAAGGCAAAATATTGTATCTTTCACAATGTTGGTTTTACAGTTAATAATACTATGTGACATTGTTACTATCAAGGCAAATGTAGCAACCAATTCATATACAGCAAAGGTCCTATAAACAACAAATTAGATACTTGTCTACTTAATCTGTTGACAGCTTTAATTTAGCAATAAATGACAGTTAATCACAGAGCTTCTTGCGCTTCAAATCAAAATGTCAATTTTAATTTTCACTGACTATATGGTTCAGTCATATAATGACACCTCTGATAATGCAGCACTTTCACAAATGCACTGAACTACCAATCTAAGTCATGTGCTCAAGTTCTGCAGGAAGATTTGAATCCATGAAGCAAACAGCTCCCAAAATTTGGCAAAATGCCAATGTCAGGGAGTTTCATAGGCTTCCCTTTGTAAACTTAAGCAAGTTTTCTCCTGCAACCTTATGGTGCTCACCTTAAGTATGCACCACTCATCCATGTGCTACATTCACACTATCATGTGCTCAGCAATGACAGAGTGCTCACCGGTGTCAGGATCTTTTGGGCATTCACACACCAGTGTCATACTTAAAGGCCAGCTGTAAACCAGTTCAAAAACTGCACGTAAGGAATTGACGTTCACAGTTCAAGCATGTAAGGATTTCCAAGGCAAATGGCTGTTTGAGGCAAACTGCACTGCACTTAGTGGACAGGGACCTGTGGGCAGGGTGGTGGGGAGTGCTATCCTCTTTCCCCGGGATCGCCAGAGATCATAGCGCCAGACACTGCCAGCCTTGTCTGAAGTTACCACCTGGGCTAGTGTCTTTTCAACAATCTAGAGGAATGCCCAGAAATGAAGGAATCAGATTAATGACCTTCTGCACTCCACCAACATAAGTGTCACCATCTTCAATCCTCTACCTCTCACATGTGCTAATTGTGCTACTGCACCCACCTCCCAGAGATTCATGGTCCACCAGCCTCACTATTGTATAAAGAATATTCTCCAATTGGAACACACCCAACCCTCCTTCCAAATTATTAACCATTAGTGCCCTCAATGCATTCTACTCATTCAGGGCATCTCGCTACCTTTCCTACCAGCCATTTTCATCTCATTAAGTCCACCCTCTGCCTTATTGTAGGAGAAAAGAATCCATGATAAAGCAGAGATCCAAAATGTGTGCTGTGGTGGCCAATATTTATCTGGTCATCCCTACAAGGAGAGAATCCAGACTGCTCATGTGGTGACGGTGTGATCTCCATATCCTCACACCAAAAGATTCATTATCAGTGAAGGTAGGTTTACAGTAGACAATAATATAGAAACCCCAGGCCAATTTCTCAATGAGTACATTGAGGAAAGTAAGCTCATTTGACTGTCCCATGTCACCATGCAAACTTGGTGTTGAAATAGAACGCATCAAGTCCATCTTGCAGTATAATGGCTACCCCTATAAGATCAATTTCTTAGTGCATGTTGCATAAACTCAGGAAAAGCACTAAGGTGGTCAGTTTTGATCCTGAAAACTTGCCCAGTCTACCTCACAAGGTATCTCAAAGTTTGAACACAGCTTAAACTTGCTGTTCCATGATGCTACAATGCAGTAGTAACATGAGTGGAGTTCACCTCTAACAGGATGCTGCTGTCAAGTAAAACAGATATTCTGCCGATGACAGAAGACATTAATGTGTACATTCGAAAGACTGGCAGATCATATCAAACAGCATATCCCTTTGGCTGTTAACAGTATACTAGGAAGTGGTTATACCAAACCAGCCCATGTTTGGAAAATGTGCAGCAACGTTTACCATTATTTACAATTCTATAACTGGACAACATTTGCTGGATAATCCTGAATGCAAAGATTTAGGATTGTCAGTCAGGTTTGCTGTGAAGCATATTTGTATGTACTGGAAACTATATATATTTAATACACGGGGCACTTTTCTTTGTAGTCAGGCAAAACATGCCCATGCACTGTGCCTGTTTCAACTCAACAAAATAGGTGATAGGTATTCGTTGGTTCATTTGTCAGGACATTGATCAGGGCAATCTTCCTGATTTAAAATTTAAACAAATCCTGGCAGTTAACTGTCAATCATCATAACTGATGCATTAGCAATCATTGTCATTTTTCTCTCATCACATGCAGTATAAATGATGGTTTACCCCTTGAACTGATATTCCAGTGAATTGTTCTGATAAGAAGAAGGTGAAAAGATTAAAAACAGTATTTTTTCAGCAATAATAAGCTTAAATGAGTCATAGTCTTTGAACTTAAAAGGGACTTTATCAGAGGATTCCGGATCCAAAGGGGAATTCCTTTGCAAAATGCAATTTCCTGGGCAACTGTGTCATGAATTTTGTATTGTCCTGGTGCACAACTCCAGTCTATGCTGTTCCAACAACCATATAGACATTGGAATATGTGGGCCATTATATTTGTTTTATTATGGAATCTATAGTTTAAATGCTTAATTTTTTTGAGACTGATCCTAATTGAAAAGGGAAACCAACCTCCCAGTTACCAAAATGTCTGGTTGAAGTGATTACATTGAAACAGCCATGGAAGCTCAGTAGTAATGAGTCCAGGAGTGCAATACATACAGGCTGAGGATGACAGAGGTCAGATCCCGAAATCGAGGACAAGCACTCACTATTTATTTCAGAGCCCCCTTCCGCTCCCCCATTTCTGAAGAAGGGTCCCAACCTGAAACGTCAGCTTTCCTGCTCCTCTGATGCTGCCTGGCCTGCTGTGCTCCTCCAGCTCCACACTGTGTTATCTCAGACTCCAGCATCGGCAGGTCTCACTATCTCTGATATTATTGCTGCAGTTGTTTGTGTCACTTCAAGATGGCATTGGTGGATCTATGACATTCGGACCATCATAAACAGAATTTAGGAAGTTCTGGAAACATATGCTATTTTTAGTAAAAACTGTGTGTGTGGTACTCTGGTTGGTTGTGTACCGCTGCTAGCAGAAAATAAATTTACAGGGGTAGAAATGGCCAAAGGAAATGAGATTTGAACATATTTTTCTGACAAGGAATTAGGTACACATGATAGTGCAGAGTTGAGAAGACATTGCCTAGGAAGAGGGAGAGAGATCTGAAAATTTTCGTGTTTTAAAAATCTATGACACCAAATAGACATTTCTAGGTCAATCCAAATGAGTGGACTTGCTAACGTACTGTGAGATGAATGCAGACTTGCTCCTTTTTTTATTTCTACATCAAACAGACAAATGACATGGAATCATAGAATCCCTAAAATGTGGAAGCATGCCATTCAGATTATTGAGTCCACACTGACCCTCCAAAGAACATCCCGCCCAGACCCATCCTCCTACCCTATTCCTCTAACCCTGCATTTCCTGTGGCTAATCCACCTGGCCTGCACATCCCTGGGTACGGTGGGAAATTTAGCATGGCCATTCCACCTAACCTGCACATCTCTGAACTGCGGGAGGAAACCTGAGCACCCAGAGGAAACCCACGCAGACACGGGCAGAATGTGCAAACTCCACAGAGACAGTCACCCAAGGGTGGAATCAAACATGTGTCACTGGTCCTGTGAGGCAGCTATGCTAACCACTGAGCCACCATGCCACCCTATGGCCACAATTTACTGTCCTTTGGGGTACCTTATTTTCAAACAACAGAACAGAAATCATTTCCAAGTATACAAGAAAGGGTTAGGGGTGAAAGAAGAGAGGTAGTGGTGGGGAGATATAGGAATACAGAGCAGGGGTAGATGAGCAGAAGGAGAAGAGGGTTTGAAGGCAGTGGGAAAGAGTGAGAGATGGAGATGGAATGGAGTGGGGACAGAGTCTCAAGATCTGAAAATACAATGCAATGGAACTAATTAAGCCTGTATAAGTAGACATTGTGAAATTAATAAAAATGATATATCAGAACTTTCAATCAAACTGGTGGAGGGTTGGAGCAGTCATGTTAATCAGCAGCAGACTGACTCAGAAGATCCACAGCAACAAATAATCTCAAGAGCAAATCAGTTCAGGCAGATTTATAATCCGGAGGGGAAAATGGACTGTGTGTTTTCTAATGATCTTTTTCAGCAGCCTTGTGTTAAAAATATTTATAGTGTAGTTGTTGGATTTTAAGACCATAAGATATAGGGCAGAAGTAAGTCATTTAGCCCATTGAGTATACTCCACTATTCAATGAGATTATGGCTGCTCTGATAATCTTCAACTCCACTTTTTGGCATTTTCCCTCTCATGTTTACTGGTTAAAAATCTATCTCAGCTTCAAATATACTCAACAACCTGGCCTCAACAGCCCTCTCAGTAACAAATTATATAGAGTTGCTACCCTCAGAGGGCATAAAATCCACCTCATCTCTACCTTAAATATGTATCTGCTTATTCTGAGATTACGTCCTCTGGTTGTGGGCTCTCCCACAAGGGAATAACAACTTTTCCGCATCTATCCTGTCAAGTTCCCTGAGAATCTTACATATTTCAAAAAGATCACCTCTCATTCTTCCAAAATCCAAGTACAAGCCCTATTCAACCTCTCCTCATAAGACATGGTATCGTACGTTTTGAAGGAGGTAACAGCTGAGATTGATAACATACGCTCAGTGGATTTCTGAATCAAATCTTAAAATCTGTTGATGTTGCATCTGCCATTTAATATGTACCTAAGAGTTTACAATCGACTGGAATTTGCCTATGTTTCGCTCAAAAACCCAGAATCAACATAAATATAGGGAATCTGCTAAGATAGTATTTAGTGTTTGTTCTGATTGTTGTTAAACAAAAATCCTGTAATTCAAGCTATGGAATTTCAAGGCTCCACTGCTTTAATAAATAACTAGAATTTCAGATTTAATTATTTAAAAAATAAGCTACTGATCTTGACTAAGGTCATAAAAGTTTCTATGCATTACATATACTCAAAATCACAATACTGAAATCCCAAAGAATGGCAAAATAATAAATGTACATTAATTGCAGTTAGCTGGCAAGCAAGGAAGTACATATGATTATGGAATTTGAATTTTCTATGTGTGGATACAAAGAAAAAGTTCTGCTGAGATCTTAGCAGATGCTAATGAAAATGCACCTGTAAATAAAGAAACGTGTTAATTCTCCTATTACCTGCTGTACCCTCAATGCTAGATTGAGACTTTTCAAAATATTTCCAACAGGTTGAGCATGTTTTTTAAGTACTAAGCTACAATCCAAATCCTTAGGATTGATTTTCTGCAATTTCCCGAGATTAAACATTGCTGTATGGGGAAGAATAAAACAGTAATTCAGCTAAGATTTTAGTTGGCAGCACTTACTTGATCAAGAGCACAAATGATTCATAACAAGTCTCCAACTGCTTTGGGCTCAGAGGACATGAAGCTGGATAAAAGAAGTAAAAATTAGGAATCTAAATTTTAATGGAGCACACACCTTCAGCTAGATTGTCACTTGATTTTAAAAAAATTAAAGGCTTATTTATAAACGCCTTCCATACCTGAAAGAAATGGTGCAAGAATCACACCACGCCATGCTCTGGTAAAATTTGGAATCTGGAGAAAATAAATTTAGTGATTCTTAAACATTAACCAGAACATTCAAAAGCAGAACTAAGGTTTTATTACAGAATGTCACTTCTTTTATTATATAGTTTGATGAAATGAAAACGACTTATCACAGCAAATAAACAAAATCATTCATTTGAAAATGCTTCACAGTATTGACAAATGTGCTCTGTAAAAGCAATATTCAAAGACCCATGTTGCACTTGGCATCAATAGGTACCTAATACCCTAGTCACCAGGAAAGATTTTGACACTTGGTCAATTGCATTTCCAGCCTCAAGTACAATTTTATGCTGTACAGTTCTATGTTCTGTGTTAAGTACATAGCTAAGTCTTGTTATTTCCTTCCACTTCTAACTCAAGCGAAACATCAACGGGGTACAGATGGTGAAGTGAGAAAGGAAATTTGGGAGCATGCGAGGGCAAGGGCAACCACAAGGATAAAGGAAATAAGTGGATAAAAATAAGTAAAATAAAATGTGTGTCCAAGAGAACAGGCAGAGGCAGATAAGAGAGAAAGAAAGTGAGCTGGAGATATAAGTGCAAGTAAGAGAGGGCAGGGAAATGTAATGCTCATCAAAAACACGCACAGAGCTCTGCTGGTATTCTGCCAACAGCCATTCATCAAACTTCGTATCGACCAAAAGCTTCACTAGTTATTCCTCAGTTGTTATCTGTGGATATCGCACGCACAGTCGTTAACCAGTTACTTCTCTCTGCTTTCTTTTGAAAGCAAGCTCTCTTGATAGTCCAGAGGTGCAAATGCCAGATGCTATCCAGGATTTCCTCAAAGAGGCCATTATCCATTTGAGTCTTGTTGTTACACAGCATGCAGGCATGATTGCAGAGCTTTAATGTGTCCTCATCCAACATCCATACACATGACTTCAACAGTATTTGCAACGTGAAAATCCTGTGAATAACATCTAAAATAATGGCACTGAACTTAAGTGCAGGCACCCTACCAATGAATGAGATTTTTTTTAAAAATCCACTCATAGGACATGGATGACGCTGCCTTGCCAGTATGCATTGCCCATCCCGAGTTGCCCTTGAGAAGGTGGTGGTGAGCTTCCTTCTTGAACCGCAGCAGTCCATGTGCTGCCGGTAGAGCCACAATGCTCTAAGGGAGGGAATTCCAGGATTTTGGCACAATGACAGTGAAGGAACAGTAATATATTTCCAAGTTAGGATGGTGAGTGCCTTGGAGGGGTGTTCACATGTATCTGCTGCCCTTGTCCTTCCAGATGGAAAAGGTTATGTGTTTGGAAGGTGTTATCTAAAAATCTTTGGCGAATTTCTACAGTGCATCTTGTAAATAGTACATACTGCTGCTACTGAACATTGGTGGTGGAGGGAGTGGATGCTTGTGGATGTAGTGCCAATCAAGTGGGGTGCTTTGTCCTGGATGTTGTCAAGTCTCGAGTGTTGTTGGTGCTGCACTAATCCAGCCAAGTGGGGAGTATTCCATCACAGTCCTCGACTTGTGCCTTGTAGACGGTGGGAAGGTTTTTAGGAGTCAGGAAGTGAGTTAGTCAGTATTCCTAGCCTCTGACCTGCTGTTGTATCCACTGTACTTATATGGTAATTCCAGCTGAGTTTCTCGTCAATGTTAAACCTGAGGATGTTGATAGTGGGGCATTTATTGATGGTAACACCACTGAATGTCAAAGTGTGGTGGTTAGATAATTCTTATTGGAGATTGTCATTGCCTGGCATTTGTGTGGTGCAAATGTTACTTGCTACTTCTCAATGCAAGCCTGGATATTGTCCAGCTGTTACTGCATTTGAACATGATCTGCTTCAGGACCTAAGGAGCCTCAAATGGTGCTGAACGTTGTGCAATCATTGGTGAACATCCCCACTTCTGAACTTAAGATGAAAGGAAGATCACTGATGAAGCAGCTGAAGAGTGTTGGGCCTAGAACACTACTGTGAGGAAGTCCTGCAGAGATGTCCTAGAACTGAGGTGACTGAACGCCAACAACCACAACCATCTTCTTATGTGCCAGGTATGACTCCAACTAGCGGAGAGATTTCGCCCTGCTACCTGTTAATCCCAGTTTGTTAGGACTCCTTGATGCCTCATTCGGTTGAATGCGGACATGATGTTGAGGGCTATCACTCTCAGGACACCTCTGAAATTCAGGATTTTTAATCCATGTGTGAACCAGGGCAGTAAATGAGGTCAGGAGCTGAGTGGGCCTATTAGAACCCAAACGGAGCATCAGTTTGTAGGTTATGCTGAGCAGGCGCTGTTTGATAGCACTATTGATGACACCTTCCATCACTTTTTCTAATGAGTGAGAGCAAGCTAGTGGGGTGGATAATTGGCCGGGTTGGATTTATCCTACTTTTTGTGTACAAGACAAACCTGGGCAATTTTCAACATTGTCTGGAAGATGTCAGTGTTATAACTGTACTAGAAGAGCTTGGCTAGGGGATCAGACTATGGTCCAAAATTGGTATCTTCCTGGTTTGTCTGGATTAGTTATTCATCAGATGAACCTCAAGAAGCTGTAGCCACACTTCTCTGACATAAGCAAATTGGAAATTTTAGTACTCATTCAGAAAGTTGACAATTGTGAAGTCTATGCTTTTCTACAGTGGTTGTGACATTATTAAGACTTTAAAACTTTGGCAAATGTTAGAGGTCACATTGAACAGAAAAATCAGGACAGAAATGCTATACTTATTAGCTCCTAATAACTTCAAAGGAGTACCTTTGTAGGACTAATGTTACATGCTTATTATAACACAACTTAACAAATATCCTGCAGAAGAATACAATGTCCATTCAGGAAACATAAAATAACAGGTTAAATACGTTGTCCCACTTCTCTTCAGGAATCATGAGGAAATTGGACTATGCCCTAAGAATGTTCCTAAGAAAAATTAAATAAGCTGCAGAGTTTATTAATTGTGCCTGGCTTGTTCAAAAGTCAGAGCAAACAATCTTTATGTAACATGTTATACAAGCTTCAACTTGCTTTCCCTTTCTCCCCATGATAACTAACAAGACAAAGGCTGCAGTAGCTTCCTGGCACGTGGATTAAAAGAATTATTACATTCAATTGAACAAACCTAAAATAACACAAGGTGATTTAAGAAAAGGATTAATGATTAGTTAATGTTATATCTGTAATTGTTTCACAGTTGCAGCACCAATGCCATTTTTATCCCTATTGTATTAGGAAAGGAACAATGGAAATGCACTCTCATTACTGCATTAACATGATATACAAAAAGATCAGTAATGTGTCTACAGTAGTACTTTCAGAAAAAAAAAGAAATTTGCAGAGAAAAATAGCACCTACCTGCCACAAAGGGAGTATTGCAGTGATTGCTATCAGAACTTTCCTCAAGTAGTTGATCTGTAACATACAAATATGTTCAGTTTTGTTAGAAAACTTTGCATTTCATTTTCACAGAACTGTATGTTTAGTGGTGCAAAAGTCAGAACTACTTCAGTTCCAAAGATTTTGAATTATAAAATATAATACATTATATTGGTCATAACTAAAATGTATAATTATTCTTTTATACCCTCAAGTTTGAAGAAATGCATTTTATTCCTCTTTCACACCTCACGAAATATTTCTTACTGTTACACTAATATGCTACTTGACAAAATAGTCTGAGACAAGTCACCAAATGGAAGTTCCCAACCTCAGATAAGCTGAAAAGGAGACTGGAGAAGAAGGTGGTTATACAGTAGTCACCCGGTAGCAGGCATTCTGTTGATCATAGAATAACATATGGGGCCAAGGGAAGAGAAAGGGAATGTGAAAACTGAAAAAAACATGAGACCTGGGCCAATAAAGTAAAGGCATACGATAAATGAACAAGCCTGAGCCAACAGGGAAGAGACAGCACGGTTCGAAAGAGATAAGGAAAGAGAAAAGATGACTTTCAGGCACGGAGCCATGAAAACTCCAGAGACTCAGGCATGGAGCCAGTGAAAACTCTAGAGACTAAAGTTCATGGAAATGAACCCTATGTCAAGAATGTGGTGACAACATCGAGAAAGGGAGGGAGGAACGGAATGCCTGGCCAGTCCTCATCAGCATCAGCAGCTATCTTGCTTGAGCATTAGCTTTTATATTCTGTGACTACTCAGGGAGTGTCAGAGGACCCTAATGAGTGTACAAGTAGGTTCAGCTGTTGATGTATGCCAAAAAACTTATGAGCTACATGTGTACTGTCTAACAATGTTAATAAAGTGGCTTGTAAGTTATGAGAGAATTGACTCTTCTATATGTACAAGCCAATAACTGTAGCCGGCTTGATAAAATGCACTTTGGAACATAATATTTGTTTGCATTAGGTAGGTATCTAGGACTCACTGTATTTCTTTACTTACCATGTTAAAAGCAAGCAGTTTCTGCAGTATACCATTCCATAGTTGCAGGTCGTACACCCTGTACTCCAAACTCAATTCAGTAACTAATCTAACAGCCTATGAATGAAAAAAAAACATTGTTAATTATAGTTTCTTATACAGAAAACTTATAAAATATTAAGGAATACAGAACTATATTTTAAAACGACTGGATGAATTCAAATAATTAGCACCTAAAGCACTACTTTCTAACTACAACTCAGTATCAAACATTACAGTGCAGTTGTATTCACCACTTGGTTTTAAATATAACATTTATCATCTAACTTTAGAAGTGTGAATTTTAACTTTTACATCAATTCCTACCTCCTATTTGGAGGAAACAATTCTGAAATCAAATCATGAGAAAATGATCTGAATGTAATTGTGCACAATTCACTCAAGGTTTGTGAGCAACTCAGAGAAGTTGTTGTCAAATCAAATAGACAGTGGGTAGTAGTAATGGAATAATCTTTTGAAATCAAAGGTCAGAATTCTGCCCTTTGCCCAAGTCCTTGGCTAGGCTGTATCTTGAGTGACCAATGTCGATCCCTTAAATGGTAGATGATACACTGGCCTTGGAAAAGGTTCAGATGAGAACCACAAGAATTATTCCCATCTTAAAGTTCTAAACCATTTCTGATGAAGCGTCACACCGGGCTCAAAATGTTAACTCTGTTTCTATCTCCACATATGCTGCCAGACCTGCTGAGTTTCTCCAACATTCTGTGTGTTTTATATTCTGTAAAAGCTTTAGTTACTTCGAAACTTAACAAATTTAGTCTATTTACTTTTGAACTGTACAGACGTAGCAGCAATTGACAGAGGTGTGCACAAATACCCATACACAGATTATTTCAGTTTGAGTTTCGGAAGGATCACTAATCATGCATTTGAGCTGTGCAGAGATAGGAACACAATAGATGTTCTTCCATTTCCAGCATAATCACTGTCAGAATTGGCCCACTCTTTTTAGTATGTATTGCCTTTCTGTTCGTCTTTAAGAGAGCCCAGCTGGTTGTTGGCTGTGGCAGAAATCATGTCTTATGAATTGTAAGCAATTTGCAAGTGTAAATAAGCAAATTAATATGACCTTCAGGACAGGTTTGATAGCAGAAAGGGGCTGGAGGAAGTTTCACACTTCTTCACTTAATGATGTAAGGTGTGTGATTTATATATATTTTATTATCATTTACATTAGGTTTATGAATTTTGAACTCGTGGCACATGGTTTTCTGGGTGTTTGAAGAGGTCTAATGATCAACTACTAAGTATTTCTGTAACCATGGTAAGTTCTTTTAAAACACAGTATTGGAGAGAGACTTCCTGGAAAGTAATTAGGCTTTGTTTAAATTGGGAGAGCGCATGAGCAAACAAGATAAACAGTTGTAGTTTATTAGGAATTTGATAGAAAATTGTGAAGTTTTTTAGGGGTTTAGGGAAACATCTAAACCTTTGAAGAAATAGTTTTTTTAGTTTCAATTTGGGGCAATATTCAGAATTGGTTGAAGCTGGATGAAAAAGGGTGGTAGTTTTGGGCTGTTAAGAAATAGGCTAAGGAGGAGTTTTGTTTGAAACCTCCAAATCAGAAGTGCTCAGTTACAACCCTTAAAGACTTATTTGAAGCTGAGAAAGTAAAAGCTCATTTGTATGAAAGCTCCAGGAACAGGTTGTCAGATTTTCAAAATTTCTGAAGTCACCGTTAAATTAAGCTCAATAGATGTGAAAAAAAGAGAAATTATTTCTAATACAAGTTCTATAAGGGAGTATTGTTGAGATTGTATTTTGCTCTCTGTTTCAAAACCTTGAAATTAATTTTGCATGTAAATAGTTATCAAAATTTCTTTTGTGTATAAATTTCTTAAACCCAAATCTGCAGCATAATGGCAATTGTATTTCAGTAGCAGAACACATTGTTAAAATCAAAAAGAAATATGACCTATCAAGACAGATTTTAGTTTGGGATCTGATTTGACTGGGAATAACATCAACAGGGATTATAAAATGTATTTGACTCTGTTCTGTTGTTTCTTTGAGGAGACTACACAGTTGTTCAACAGTAGGAAGTTTATATTAGTGATGCACAAGGCAAATAAATATAGGGCAGGTTTGATGGGCAGCTGGTCTTCTCCTGTTTGTCAATTTTCACATGCATCAATGCTGGAAGTGGCACTTTATTATCAGATCAAACAACACAAAATGAAGCTCAACATTTAATAAATGAGTAACACATATGCAAACATTGTTTTCACGAATCAAAGTATTACTATCGAGATAAACTGTTCTACACTTAATATAAAAAAAGGATCTTGGTACTAACCCTAGGCTCATGGTTGTGGTTCTTCCATAAGCCTTTAATCATGCCTTCCTTGGGACTGCTGTGGAATGATTCAATGGTGTATGGTATGTTCAAGATTTCAAATTCAGCCAAATAAATGCAATACTTCAGGTAACACCTACAAGAACAAAGGCCAAATACACATATTAAAAATAAATCCATTAAGAAAAGTATGTATTGAATCAATTGGGTAGACAATAAAAACCTAAATAACAAAATCACAATCTTTAAAATGAATAAGCTTTATAATTAAATAGGGGTACCCTTTTCCTGGTTGTGGTTTTGCTTACGACATTATTGATTAAATTACTAATACAAGTGATGTGACATATTTAGTTTATATTCCGACAGAGTTTTTTTTAAGAATGTTGGTGCCATATTATTCTTCCAATACCTGATTGGGGATGCACTAGCCTAGTGGTATTATCATTAGACCCACAGCAATACGGTTGTCTCTCAACCGCCCTTTGAAATGGATGAGCAAGCCACTAAGTTGTTTCAATCGCTGTGAATTCTTCACAAAGAAATCTGACAGACCGCCTGACATTGACCTAGGCACCGGAAAAGAGTACAGCAGAAACAGCCCTGCAAAGTCCTCCTTACTAACATCTGGGGGCTTATGCCAAAATTGAAAGAACTGTCTTACAGGCTACGTAAGCAACAGCCTAACATAGATATACTCACAAAACCATACCTTACAGACAATGTCCCAGACACCACCATCACCATGCCTGGATTTGGCATGTCCCACCGGCAGTACATACCCAGCAGAAGTGGCGGTACAGTGGTATACATTCAGGAGGAAGTTGCGCTGGGAGTCCTCAACATTGACTCTGGACCGCATGATGTTTCATGGCTCAAGTTAAACATGGGCAAGGAACCCTCTTGCTGATTACCATATGCCATCCTTTCTCAGCAGATGAATCAGTACTCCTCCATGCTGAACAGCACTTGGAGGAAGCACTGAGGGTGGGAAGGGCACAAAATGTACTTTGGGTAGGGGTTTTAATGTTCATCGCCAGAAGTAGCTCTGCAGTAGCACTACAGAATGAGCTGGTTGGGTCCAAAAAGACATGGCTGCTAGACTGGGTCTGAGGCAGGTGACAAAGGAACCAACAAGAGGGAAAAATATAGCTGACCTCACTTTTATCAATCTGCTGGCTGCAGATGCATCTGACCGTCACAGTTTTGACAAGATTTGCCACGTCACAGTCCTTTCGCAGACAAAGTCCCACTTTCACATTGAAAATACCCCCCATCACGTTGTGTGACATTATCACCATGCTAACTAACTTGATCAAATTTTTTGAACAAGTAACGAAGAGGATTGATGAGGGCAGAGTAGTGGATGTGATCTATATGGACTTCAGTAAGGTGTTCGACAAGGTTCCTCATGGTAGACTGCTTGGCAAGGTTCGATCACACGGAATACAGCGAGAACTAGCCATTTGGATGCAGAACTGGCTCCAAGATAGAAGGCAGTGAAGGGGTGTTTTTCAGACTAGAGGCCTGTGACCAGTGGTATGCTACAAGGATCAGTGCTGGTCTACTGCTTTTCGTCATTTATATAGATGATTTGGATGTGAACATAGGAGATATGGTTAGTTCCTCCAAAATTGGAGGTGTAGAGGACAGTGAAGAAGGCTTACCTCAGATACTCAGTTTGGGTTCCACTAGGGCCACTCAGCTCCTGACCTCATTACAGCCTTGGTTCGTATAAGGATAAAAGAGCTCAACTCCACAAGTGATGGGAGAATGACAGCCCTTGACATCATGGCTGCATCCGACAGACTGGCATCAAGGAGCACTAGCAAAACTGGAATCAATGGGTATCAGGACAAACACACTACTGGTTGGAGTCATGCCTGGCACACAGATGATTGTATCAGAGATAGTAGGAACTGCAGACACTGGAGAATCTGAGATAACAAGGTGTAGAGCTGGATGAACACAGCAGGCCAAGCAGCATCATAAGAGCAGGAAAGCTGACGTTTCGGGCCTAGA